TGGTTGCCGCGGCCGCGGGCCAGCGCCAGGCCTGCTGCCTCCAGTCCCAGCCCCGGTGGTGGCCAGTCTGAGAGGGATCACCCTCTGGTCCTTGGGGGACAGCAGGTCGTCTGCGATCTGTCCTGCCTCGGTGGCAGGAGGCGAGGAGAGGCCCCCAGCCGGGCTGTGAGGAGGGGGCCTGTAACCTTGTGCAAGTCATGAACCAAGTCAGGCGAAAGTCAAAGCAGCCAGCTCGCCTCCGCAAAAGAGGAGCGGGAGGTGATTCCGTAACGCGGCTTTTGATAACAGAAGATGGTTACATCGGGAGGCATGTTTGACAGCTGACAGGGTCTTTAAGATGCCGCTCGGGGTGTCGGAATCGCTCATTTACCTGGAAGAGACTCCTTGACGCCTTGTGGAAAACTTTGAAATACAATTGGTTCTGGCAGTTCTGTTTCTGTATCTTATATTGGAGGATTTTTAACTTTTCCTTTTTTATGACTGCAACACGTTAAGTGTGAAAGCAGGAACTTTGTTGCTGTAGAGCTCAGCTGCCCTGGCTGTTTATTTCCTACCTGAAGTTGCCACCTTCTGTTCGTGAGGTACAGCTGGCAGGAATGGCAGTAACCGTGATGGCACGAGCTGCAGATTATAGCTTCAGGTAGGAGCAAGATGCAAGAACACATGGACTTGCACCCTGCTCTACAGCAAATGTTCTTAATAGCAATAAAGATGATGAAAAGAAAAGTAGAGAGAGAAGCATGTATTCTTATTAAAAGATGCCACTGTTCACACCTCTGATTTTCCAATGAATTAATTTTTACAAAACATTATAAGCAGCAAAAATATTTTAATTAAAAAACTTTTGTGAAAATGTCTTTTGAAAGACGCAAAGGTTATGCAAGATTTTTATATGAAGGAGTGACAAATATGAGTCCTCTAGGAGGAAGCCCCGAATTTCTTAGAATACAGTGAGGCAAGGTGAGGAGGGCAACCTTCTTTGGGAAGCGCACACTCATTTGGCTCTACTGAGGGGAGCAGGTTTGTTTTCCCTGACTTTGTAGTCTTGGAGGAGTCCTAAATGGCTAGAGACCCCTTCCTAGGGGAGAAGGTGCTGGGGTGCTGCAGGCTGCTCTGGCTGGAACTGACACAATGCGTTTCGACTTTTCTGTCTCAAAGTTACCGAAAGCTTTTAAGGAAATAATAAAGTTTAGCTAAGGTTCATGTACAGAGGTCTCTTGTGTTATCCTATTTCACTGATTATGTTCCTGTGAACTGTTTATGAAAGGCCTGACCTGTGTCACTGCATTGTGTTTTTTGATTACAAGGGCTCCAGAAGGAGAGACATGAGCCAGATTGACCCTGCTAAAGGGTCACAGTGAGAAGTGGGAAAGTTTCCAAATCAAATCTAAGAGTAGCAGAATTATGGGGCTACGTTGTGGTGGGGTGAAAGGCCTCTTGCTGTCAAGGCTGCTCCTGAGAGTTTGCTTTCCTCTTGATTCATGGTGCAAGCAAACTGACCCGTCAATCATGTTTTCTATCAAATGACTGTCTAAGGGAAAGGAAAGAAAACCTAATTTGTAATTTTTTTTCCATTTGAATCTTCTGAAGTGACATAGTGTGTCATGAATTACATGTTTGCATTATCTTATAGCCTGTAAGTAATGAATACAGTGCTCAGAAGTGCTTGAGTGGGAGTACGTTCATTCCCCACCCTCATTTTCCAGAGAAAAGGGGAGCAAGGAGAGGCATGACGTACCCTAGGCCTTGCTGGGTCTGTGACAGAGCCAGGATTAAACTGTTGATTCCCAAAGACATCCATTCTGCCAGTGCAGTCCCAGCCTATGCTGCCTCGCGCTTGCACAGCATAGTGACCGTGAGCAAGCAAGTCCTGCTCAGTTGCTCTGCTCGGGTCCCCTGTCCCCTGCGTTGTATGCGGCTGTCTGCCACTGATTGCTGCGTCACATGCAGCCTCCAGGCAATGTGTCCATTGCTTTCTCTCCCAGGTCTCACTGGGCGTTGGTAGTGAGGAGACCTCACAGGGAGTCTGGCAGTTTCCAACAAGTTTTGGACTCTCTAATTTTGAAAGAGCTTCCTTTGAACCCTGTTTTATTTTCTAGTATCTCCTAAAAATCCACACTGACATGATACCTTTAAAACACTTGTAGTGAAGAGGCAGCCTATTGCCGTGACCAGAATTGACTTCGGGTGACCGTGTGGTCGTCCCTTGTTTCTGTCTGCCTGTTGTGTCTTCTTACAAAGCCTTTGGTACCATGGGCAACCGGTCTGCTTTGCGTGTGCATCATCTAGTACGGTGGTCCCTAGAAGCTGTTGAGTTAGAAGGAGCAATGGAGTCAGAGCAGAGCAGCTTGTGTTCGCTTGCTGCCTGATCGCTTGGAGCTCTTGGCTGGGGGCAGTTGCTAGTAGGGAATCGTTAGCAGAGCAGCAATTAAAAGTTGGATTGTCAGGTCCTTTGTGGCTCCAATCATTGGATCACTCTGTCTTTCTTCTCCGATGTAACTGTTGCTGTTCTGTGTCTCTGCAGGGATTATCAGTCATGGCAAGACGGGCCTTGAAACTTGCCTCATTGGCAGCAGCCACCACTGGTGTCTACCTGTACGGCAACAAGTTCCTGGATCCCAATGATTTTGGGGTAGTTCGTGTGGGCCGGGCCATTGCCACAGTAAGTTTTACCCTAGTAACGTGTAGGAGGATTCCTAGGTGCGTAAGAGAACTAAAGTTCACAAGAACTTGGAATTTCCTGCATTCCCTCTCTGCCATTTCCAGTTGGCAGCTGGCTTCAGGAGTTGGAAGAGCAATGAGGAGCTCTTCACACTGTTGAGACGGCTGGGAGAAAAGAGATGGAAACAGAGAAGGAACAGAGCTATCATTTGCACGTTTTAGAAAGAAACAGACAGAGATGCTGAACTGCAGAGAACTGTCTGCATGGGTTGGCTGGGACCTTCAGAACGAGGGCTCACTTTGGGCCCACGCTTCTATCAGTTTCCAAGGTCAGCTGCTGGGTACAGTGTGCTGTTGCCTTTAACAGTGAAGTAACCAGACCATCTTGTCTGTACATGCCACTTCTTACACCAGAACATTTGATTTAAAGGATCATGGTGGTTGTATTAGTATGCTACAGTAGTCATTGCCCTGAGACTGTTAGTATCAGAAGTTTGAGGAGAGAAAGGCAGGTGTTTTGAGGATCATTCGAAAGGCAAGGGTAAAGTGAGGATGGGAGATGATGTACTTTTGAGAATGGATTGATTTCCAGATTGCTGAAGTAAACCCTACAGCGTCGTCTTAGGCACATTGGTGCATCTATTTTACCCTTGTTGATCATAGCTCCAGAAAACCTGAGAATGAGAACTGCCAGCCAAACAGGTTGCAGTCTTCTTGAAGTCATTCACTGACGAATCCATGAGCGGCAGGGAACAAGGCAGAGCAGAGACGGTGGAGGGGGGGACCAGTCTTCACATACCTCACTTGTATTAGGCATCTGTCACTTCAGGCCACGTTCTCCATCTTACAGACCCCCAATGCTAAGCAGCTGTCTGCCTGCATATCTTACAACTTCTAAGCACTTTGTTAATGAGTTTCGCAGGGGGCCAGCTCCTGAGGGCAGATGCAATAAGAAGCAAACTCCGTTCATTGACTGAGGTGCCATGCCATTTATATGTGCACGCTGCACCATGAATCGTGGAGAATGAGTGCTTGTTTTGAAAGGGTGAAGGTGGAAATACAGACTTTAATCTTTCCCTCTTAAAATAAGTTCTAAACTCTGTGCTTCGCCCATGAGTGTTAAGGCTGCACTGCGTGGTGGTGGGGAGCAGTTATCTCCCTTTTACTGCAAAGGGAAACTGAGGCATGGAGAGGGAACACAACTTAATATGGCTGGAGAAGGGTCTGCTATCCAGGCTGTTAGGGCTCTGCACTTGAGTTCTCCCTGCTTGACCACTGTTTCTCAATCTTACTGAAGCCAGTGTGTTTTGTGACTACCTTCTGTTTCAGATAACAGTAAAAGTGAAAAATGCACAGTGATGTGGTTGTGCAGCTGGTGTGTCTGTATTTTGAGTGGGAGTGGGAGATTATTCTTCCTGATGAATAAGTAGTAGGGAAAGGGAGATTTTCTTTGCTTTAGTTATTGATGCATCAAGCCTTGCTTGACTTTCCCATCCCCTGCCTTCAGGGAGTCACAAGTCATGCACTTCACAGGCCCTGCCATTACATGCATTAGAGTGTTCTGCACCCATGGCTGCAAGCAGTGACCCCCCCAAAAAGGCTGTCAGTCTTCTGTAGGTGATGGCAGTTTTGGCCAGGGCTGCAGCATGTGTATGTATCTGTGTATACTTTTGGAAAAGGAATTTTCTGTTCCTTTTTGAATTCTCTGTTCCCTCTGACATATGGGACCATGTGTGGTCAGGTTGTTTCTGAGAGATTTTTTAATTTTGCTGCACCAGGGATCTCTTATCTTCCCAGCCTCGGGTCTGCTCCATGTTGGACAGGCCAGGGGCAGCTCTCACTTGAACACAGGCAGGTTTCATTCTTCACAGTGGAACAGGCTGGGTGAAGCCAACAGAACACTTAAGATATGATCGTTTCTAAGAAGGTCTCAGCTTCTTGGACTTGCTCTTTTTGTAAATGAAAGCTGAGATTCTATAGCAAACAAATAACTTAGGATATTGGTGGGATCTACATGGGCCTACAGTGTCTGTCCTTCAATTTAGCTGTGACCAGGCTCCTTGCTTGGATGCTTAACTCAATCATTGGACCATATCCAGCCAAAAGCAGGCTGTGATTAAAAGGCTGCAATTCTTAGAGCCAAATTCCGCAGCAGTAGATGCAAAAAATTAAGACAAGCTATGGTGAGGCCAAAAAAAAAAAAAAGGCTGGAAAAAAGAACATGTGGAGATTGTGGAGATCAAAAAACCTGACCTAGAACTACATTCTCAGGCCTCCAGACAGGTTTCATCTGAGTTTGACCAGAAAGATTTGAGGTTACTCTTATTTTAACCATGCTGGTTCTCTTGTCCTTTGCAGAATTTCCCAAGAGACTTGCTGAAGTGCCCTAACAGAATATTTTTTCTTGAGCCTCAGTTTAGGGAACTGGCATTTGCTAATGTGTGGATAGATAGTTATTGAGAGGGAATGTTGAGCCAGGATCTCACAAGATCTGAGGATAGTTTTAAGAGTGATGGAAAGGGTGTAAGGAGTTGAGAATTAAATGAGGCAAAGTGGAAGCCCAAGTCTTTGGGATATTTAACACAGGATTGGATAGAAGATCAGTTAAAGAAATGATCTGGCATATGTAATGGGAGGAACTGGGTGATCTCATAGGTCTTTTTATGTCTCTAAGATACAGTCTCACTCTGTAACAGGAATGACTTAGCATTAATTTTGGATGAGAATGAAGACTGCGGTCTGGACAGCATCACATTTCAGACAATTTCTATGTTCTGGTAAAGTTAGAAACCTGGCAGAGCAGTTTTAATTTTCTGTACTTTGAGGGCACCCCAGTTGTTTCGGAGGACATCAAATGAACATTGTGTTCTGTAGCTGGAATGCATCTCAGACACTAGCAGGGGTCTGGCAATGTCAGAGTTGCCTATCAGGATCATCATAATACTAATTTAGTGTTTAAGATTACGGTGTAATTAGCAACTGCTTAGTTAATTCCTTCTTCCTCCGTAATACAGGCCAATCTGTTAGCTGCTTCTTTTCAAATTGGAGGTGATAATTGCCCTCATGGACCAGAGATAAAATAAGAACCAGCTCAAGCCTTCGTCCAAGGCTGATTTGAACCTCCCTCCACTTCAGAGTTGTTCTTTGACTTGGGAAGATGCCTTGAAAAATTTGTCTTCTGAATGTGTCTCTGTGTAGCTGCACAGCTCCTGAGTTCATCAGGGGCAAGACAGCCTGAAAAGCCGGAAGAAGAATTTTGTCCTGCTCGGTGTCCAATCCTGAAAACTGGAAGTGCAAGAAACCTCAGCTCCACAAAGGAAGAGTATGTCTACTTGAAACTGATTCCCAGCTTGATCCCCTCTTGAATAGAGGCATCCTGACTTTTGATGAAGACTTTTGGGAAGAGCTTTTGACTGCTTCCCAACTGTCAGTTCCAGCAACCTTTACCCCAAACCAGATTTGATCCCCTTGCCTCCCTGGCTTTCAGGATACAATGACTGTGCTTTGCGTGCACCTTTCCCAGGCTGAGGGTGCAGGGTGGAACCATCACAGAATGGGATGCTGTCCCTTTGGGACAGGGAAGTTTTAGGGGAGCCGACTTTGGGTCCAAGTCCTGCAAATGGTGCTTTATGGCAAGGATTTTGAAGTCAAGTGACAGATTAGTGGATGAGCTCGTCTCTAGTCTAGATATACATACCCTTCTCTCCCCACAAATAAACCTCATGGAAGTGTCCTGTATGTTTCTATTCCATTTCCTGTCATTCTGACTGTGGGAAGAGAAGAACTCTAATCCTAGATAAAGTTCTTAAGATTCTTAAGATCCATTTTCAAAAATCTTTAGGCACTGAGGAATCTATTGTCTCGGGCTACGGCCAACTAATAGGCTTTAGCTGGATTCCCATATTGCACTTTTGTAATTAAGTGTCTGCTACTTTTGCTCCCTTGCCCATTATGCAGTTGAATATCCGTGGAAGTACTGCCGCTTGTGCTAATCTGTGTGCTTGTCATCAGCCTCTCTGTTCCCTGCTGAGCCACCTACCCACACTGAGCTCACTGTGCACCAGCGTGGTTCGGCAGGTTGGAGGTGTGAAGATGAAATGGGGGATGACTGATAAGGCACAAACAGGACTGGATGGCCTGATCTTCTTGCGGAAGGCCCAGATGGCTGACCCCACTGTACAAGGTGCTGTACAGAGATTATGATAGTGCTTTGAGCTTCTTGAATGGAAGATGCTATAGGAGTACCAAGCACTGGTCATTTTTAATAGCTATGCATTAGGTCCCTGCACAGCTTTCTATAAATGGTGAAATGCAACATTTCAATTCTTGAAGCGATTACAAAATTGTTTGTCATATAATTTAATTAAAATACCTGGTTATTGTAAATACCACTATGAAGCCTAGACTTGGGAGCCTAAGCTACATACATTCTCCTTAACAGAGGGTTTGTTGTTTTGTCCAAGATAACTGCGGAGCTTTCTCACTATTTCTGGTTTCGTCTGCAGACAGCAGTTATTACCTATGACTACCTCACCTCACTCCGGAGCGTCCCGTATGGATCGGAGGAGTATGACGTCCTCAAGTCTCAGGTAGGTGGTACAGCACTAGACTGTGTCCCTCAGAAGCTCTGCAAGGCACAAGTGTATTGCCAAAACCATTGCTGTAAAGCAAACCGTGAAGCTATCGGCTTTAAAGTTCAGTATGCCTGCTACAAAGTGATTGATAACAGAGACAACCGTCTCTGCACATTAGAAAAGATTCTTGCAGGACCTATGGAGAAGGTCCCTCATCAAGAGTAGCCACATACAACCAATGCGTGCCTGTGCCCATTAGAGATTCAGGTTCTCCATGTATGAGAGCAGATGGGTTTGGGCTCTGCCTTGCCCTGTTCCCTGCTGCTCAGACTGGATGTGTGGAGGTCAGCTGCTGGGAGGGGTATGGCAGTGGTTCTTATCTCACTTGTTTGGTAATGGCTGTAAAACGAAGGTCAGGTCGTAGGATTTAAGTAGCAGTATGTTGGAGGGGACATCACTGGGATGAACCAGGCTTGTCAAAGATCTCTGAAGAAATCAGAAGTAATTGGGCAAACATTTCATTGCAAGGCTGTCTTTTGCTGTCTTTTGATGTCAGCAATTAACATGAATAGAAAAAGCATCTCTAGTGAGAAGAAGTAAGATATAACAGAAAGCACCTCTGCTGTGCCCCTCAGTGCTGCACTGCACTTTTCCTGCTTTTCGCTCTAGCCCTACACTACAGTACAACATTTCAGCTGTGAGTAGCATTGTGTTTTAGTCGAGTGCATATCATAAAGCTAGTGTCTCCCTGCTGTTCCAGCATAGGGCCTCTTTAGAGTGGGGAAACAAGGCTTGCGCTGAATTATGCCAGACTGTGCAGTATGTCTGAGGTAAGATCTTTAACCTCATTTCCCTTCTTAGTGCATTAGGCCATTGCTGTAGCTGTAATGTATGGGGTAGTATTATCCAGGGCCTCTCAGAGTAGAGGGACTCTGAAGATGGGAACAGTGGTGGTATGGTTGAGCAGTGGGTTCCATTTCATGTCTTGTACCAAGGCCTGCACCAGCCATGCTGATTCAGATCTTGTCTAGAGGTCGAAATCTGTGGCACTGGGCTGCAGCATGTTTTAGTACTCTTCTGACAGGTGATGGAAATTATCAGTGTGATCTTAATTAGAGAATTTGAGATAGTTTGGAGAGCAGCTTCCCTGGGCTTGTTCTCATCCTCTCCTGTCTAAAGATGTGAAGCTCTTCTGCTGTCTCATCCCAGATGAGCGGCCCTCTTGCCCCAGCATGAACTTGGGGATAGATGCGCTGGAGTCTGGAGCGTCACCTTCTGTCTGCCCAGGTCTCTGCCACCTCTGAAAACACCTCAGGGGGCACTCAGGCCTGCGGCTTCTCCTCACAGTTGGTGACTGTGAGAGACTGAAAATCTTGTCCGATGGTGGGGGTCTTTACAGTCAGTGGAATGAGTTGGTGAGTTCTCAGGAGAGTTCTTATTGGGCTAGGGTGCGTACGACAAATCCATTGCAACAAGCACTGGTTACCTCCATTCCCGACAGTCCCAATTCTGATGATTGTGAACTTGTCTATGTAGACCAGATCCCTCCCAGGCAGGCCTGGCAAAGGAAGCTGTAGAGCACTGGTCTGGGCGGTTGCGTGGATCAGAAGCTTCCAGACTCCAGAGCTGTGAGTGTGGCACTTTTAGTCACTGCAAAAGTCTATTGGGAAGCCTGTTCCTTTGAAACCGGTTTTGCAGAAGGGCTGGTTGTATCTTTCTTGAGCGAAGCCCAAGTTCTGGAGTTGTTGGTGCTGCAAATAGCTTGTCATTTGGAAGCAGTTCCCAGCAGCCCTTGCAATTTCCTGACCTTTTGCCGTGCGTCTCCATGGCCCCATTAACCTCTGTCGTGCAAGTTTTGATGGTTTGTCGATTCAAGCTCCAGGCAGCCAGAGAGGGCCCTGTTTGCTAGCATTGCACAAAGCTGTGCTCTCGCTGCTTGGCAGCCAAAACAAGCTGAGTCAGCCTCTGTGTGTGGCAGAGCTAGCGACTAGCACAGCACATCAGCGTGACATGAGGGTTCTTGTGGCATGGTCAACGCTAGCCCTGAGCCTTTAGCTGCATAAGGAGGAGTGAGCTGGGAGATAAATAGGGGGAAGTAAGCACAGGCATAGCAGGAGTTGGCAAAACTCTTCAGTGTGTGGAGGATCCAGGCCTGTCCTGCTGTTGGCAGGTGTTTTTGAGGGACACCACTAAGCCTGACAGTAGCAGGACTCATGCCCCAGCAACATCATTGCAGTGTTTGCGCTAGCAAAGCGTCAGCTTGGCCGGGGAGAATAACCTCTGTGTTTAGAGACTCCTTTAAGTGGGCCTGGGGAATTGCATGCCAAACCCCTTGTCCCAGCGCAGCTCCAAGTGGATGACAATCCAGTTTTTACCATCTTGCAGCTCTTTCAACAATCTCTGGGAGCTGAGTTTATTGGATTTGGACCAGTTACTTCAGTGCAAGAAGTTCTGCCACTGGAGTAGGTACTAAAGGTTAGTCACTGGATAGGGCCAACAGAATGTGACTGTCCCTCCTAAGCGTATGCTGTGTGTGGAGGATACTTATCCAGATGCTGCTTGTACTTGTCTCTGTTCTGAATACATCTTTGGTGCTCTCAGACATTCATTGTACTCCTTGGCTTTCCAGTCCTTCCAGTGAGGCCAAATTAACCTCCCCTTCATATGCTGAGAGTTTGGAATTTTCTTTTAAACGTGTATGAATTGGTTACTGATTTCCACCCTCGTGTTGATGCTGTGCTTAGATCACAGATTCTGTTGGGCAAGGGCTTGGAGACCCTGGGCTGCAGATAGTGCCTGGAGGTCTGGACGCAGCCACTGTGCCTCTGCCTCTGGTGAAGGGGATGGTGCAGCTGCATGCATGCCTGGGTCAGGCTTGCTGTTGAGAGTGCAAAGGTGCTCCTTTCTGTGTATCTTTTCCTGGTACTCAACACCCTAATGGGTGCTACTTGAATGCAAATATAATACTCAACTCACTCTCCACGAATTCCCAGCCGAACGTTAAACTGAAGCCTCTAAATTGCCCACAGACTCAGACAGGAGATAGGAAACCTCAATGGCAGCACCAGTCCCTGAGCCTGTTGGGGCCAAACAGGGACATAGTCATTAGGAAACAAATGCAAAGCCGATTAAAAGGAAATGAGTTCCCCTGGGGCTCTTTAGCCAGGTTCCCACTTAGCTCCAAGGAAGCCTCGTCAGTCTTACTCTGTTTTTTCTGTCCCTCATGGGCCACTTCTGTTGCTAATGTTCTCAGCCAGACAATTCTCAGCACCTTTTTAGGGCCAGCAAATTGGGGGAGTATTTACTACTTTCTGTGAGGAGCTAGAATTTTTCCTGTGTGTCCCTGGGGTCTGGTAGTGGTGATTTGGCACTTGTGCCTCTCTCTACCTCTCTCCGCCTCTCCCCTCAGTCAGGAGATAAGAGAAGCCACCTTCATGATGGCACTCACAGCCCTTCCTCAGCAACAATCAGGGGAAAAAAGCTATATCGTTTCCACTCCAGCGAATACCTGTAACAGGGATGTATCTGCTCAAGTGACCATGTTTTGTGTCCATTGCAGCACTTATCTCGTTTCACCGCCGGTGGCTGGACCACCTGGGTAACTTGATCTTTCTCCTGAGTTAGGGAGCCTGTCCTGGGTTGTCTGCCCTCTTCCTACATACGATGGTAATGCCTATATAGAGATGTGAAAGGCAGTGGTAACCATCATTAGCCCCAAGACACTGGATGCTTCTTAGGATGTCTGTAGGTCCTGTATCAGGAGCACTCGGGCAGATTTGAGCTTTCTTGGCTTCACATCTGGTTCATTAAATGGTCCTGACCATCTATGCGTGGATAAGCTTGGGCATTTCTTCCCGCTTCTGCCCCTGCTTCTACTGTGGATCAGAGGAGGAACGAGGACAGTGCTCTCGGTCCCATTTCCTAAACTTGACATTTCCTACCTGTTACTTTCTCAGCAAACCACTTTGTTCTGTACAAGGCCGCATCTCTCTTACGTTCTTCTGCCTCCTGAAGTGGTTTGTCTCCCTAATCTCAAGTGACATGTCAAATGTCAAGCGACATTTCCATTGCGCCTCTTATTGACACCTGGCATTATCCAGCACCTGGATGTCTTCATTGGCACTTCGAACATTGCTGGCATCAGTTTCTGCCGATCCTGCTGTCAGTCAGCAGGTATCTCACAACACACAGTTTGTTCAAGGGCTGGCATCGGTGGGCTTCTAAGTTGTCATTGTAGGAAGAAGATTCCAGTGGGTCATCTTGCAGATTTCAGCGCTAGTGGGCATAGCTGCAAATCTTTAGCAGGGCATTGCTTTTGTTGTCTCCTTATGTAAGACAAAAGATGGCTGCTGAGAATGTGGATAGTGATATATTTTTAATGGAGGGGAGATATCAGAGAGAGAAAGGATCTCTCATCAGGGTGTCTCAGGAGACAGTAAGAATCTCTTCTTGAGTTAACTACGTTGGCTATAAAATTGCTTTGTCAGGGAAAAGCCATTTGGGGAGGTTAATTAAACGTTCCTCCTTTTGAGAGCAGAACTAGGATATCCTCCTATTCAAAATCCTGGTTATTGGGCTGTCGGAACCAGGGCAATTACTTGAAAGCTGCAACCTTATGCCATCATTATGTAGAATAAGATTTCTTGCTTCGGGGAGGCCTTTTCTGGCATACGTAGCATTTGCTTCTCACAGTGAGGTGGGTGTTCTCAAAAGAGAGCTTTGTCTCACAGTGTAGTTGCCTGACTGAAGGAGCCTGCTGCCCCTGAAAAGAAGATGAGTGGGTGTATGTGTACATTTGTTTTTCAAAAATAGTCTACAATTTGAGTAGCTCAGACTAGTGAAAGAGCCTCTGTCTTTGTCCCTCCCTCGTGATTCAGTAACACTATGTGCCTTAAATAATAGGAAGCGATGTCCTAAGACAGTTTCTTCATGATGGAGCTGGACTGTGTGTGCAGAGAGAAGTCCCTCGGAGCTCTCGATGGCACTCCTGCAGAAAGGCAACTCCAAGTTGGGAC